CACTTCCCTGATTCCCTGACCTTCTCGGGGAAAGGGTCTGATCCAGCCCCTGTTGGACTGTTCGGCTCTGACTCTCAACCGGAACTGGAAGTGGAGCCATATTCACTCCAGCACGCTCCTGTCTCAAATCACTTGTTGAATGAATGAATCAATGTGCTGGTTGCCTCTATCTCAGAGAGTGTGAGGGTCAGAGGACCCAGAGAGGATGGGGTGCCTCAGTCCTCTTTGCCTGAAACAAAACTGGAGAATTTTTCTTTCATTTGTGACAGGGTCTCTCTCTGTCACCAAGGCTGGAGTACAGTGGTGTGACCGTGGTTCACTGCAGACTTGACCTCCTGGGCTCATGTAGTCCTTCCACCTCAGCCTTCTGAATAGCTAGGACTATAGGCACTCACTACCATGCCTGGATCCTTTCTTTTTTTTTTTTTTTGTAGAGATGGGGTCTTCCTTTGTTGCCCAGGCTGGTCTTGAACTCCTGGGCTCAAGTTATCCTCCCCTCTCAGCCTCCCAAAGTGCTGCAATTACAAGTGTGAGTCACTGGGCCTGGCCCATTCATTTTTTTTTTTTTTGACAGTTTTGTTCTTGTTGTCCAAGCTGGAATGCAACGGAGTGACATTGGCTTACCGTAGCCTTAGCCTCCTGGGTTCAAGTGATTCTCCTGCGTCAGCTTCCTGAGTAGCTGGGATTACAGGCATGTGCCACCACATCCAGCTAATTTTGTATTTTTAGTAGAGATGGGGTTTCTCTATGTTGGTCAGGCTGGTCTCAAACTCCCGACATCAGGTGATCCTTGTGTTCCCAAAGTGCTGGGATTGTTTTTTTAAAGAGAGATCTTGCTCGGTTGCCCAGGCTGGAGTGCAGTGGCATGATTATGACTTACTATAATCTTGACCTCCCAATCACGGGTGATCCTCCCTCTTCAGTCTCCCAAGTAGCTGGGACCACATGCGTATATCACCACACTCAGCTAATATTTGTAGACACAAAGTCCCCCTGTATTGCCCAAGCTGGTCTTGAACTCCTAGCCTCAAGTGATGTTCTCTCCTTTGCCTCCCAAAGTGCTGGATTCTAGGCCTGAGCCACCACATAGGCTTTACTTATAACTTCTTCTTGGCTGTGGTCCATGGGTCTTGTTTTCTGAGTCCTCACGATCCCCATCACATGCTTCCAGGTTGACTCACTCCTTGTACAACCCTCTGACCCAGCGCTGTCCACAGCTATGCCCACAACTCTCCACAGCTATGCCCACAACTCTCCACAGCTATGCCCACAACTCTCCACATACGGTGTTTGTTGAGCCACTTCCTTTCCTACACAGGCCACCAATATCTTTCTGTGGCATGTGAGACCCACTTCAGATAAATGTTTGGAATCCATGAAAGGCATAATTCCTTCCCTGTCAAGGGATATAGCTCACTGGTCAGAAATTGTATCTGTTCTCTGGGGAACCACTGTGTTCAGTCCCTCCTGGCTGACTTCTGGCCCCTTCTCTGTCCTCCCCTCCTTGTGTGTCTTCATTTCTCTCAAATCCCCCCACCACCTGATCAGATCTCCTTAAAGACCCTGTCTTTGCCCTCTGAGAACACCCCATGCTCTACCTCAAACTCTCCCCGCATTTCTGGCCCTGCATCCCTCATTCTCACACTCTACCTAGACTAGCACTTGCCAGTGGAGGGCTGGGGTGTCACAGCTTTGGAGAAGAGGTTTAAAGGTCTCCATATCCAGGAGCCGGCTCTGATATCTCACCCCACCTGCCTGAGGCTGATCATTAACCCAGAATTGATATAAAGATGGGCCCTGCCTGGAACGGTATAGCACTGCTGCAGCCATGGCCAGCACGGTTAGCCCCAGCACCATGGCTGGGGCCCCAGAGCCATCTCCATTGTCTGATCGAATCCAAAATGCTGCTGACATCTCCGTCATTGTCATCTATTTTCTGGTGGTGATGGCTGTTGGGCTGTGGGTAAGTGGAATCCCAGTGGCTTTTAGGGTGGGCACGAGGTTTGGGGGGGGTTACTTAAGGGGAGGAAAGGGTGTGGTTGTGACAAAGTTTTTCACAGATACCACTGTTATCATCAGAGTCATTTTCTTGCGTGTTGCATAAATAATTCTTAAAAGGAGCGGACTTACTATCCCAACAATCCCACTGTGTGCAGAGCCAGCACCAGGACCTTCAGATTTACTTTGCATCCCCAGTACCTGCTATAACGAACAAAGATGTTACTTCTATTATTGTATTTCCTTGACTGTCTTTTGTTTGCTCACTTTCTGACTTAGTGGGTTGGACACTTAATTCGTTTATGTGGACTTTTCTTCTTAATAATGAGTTTGAAGCTGCAAATTTTCTTGCAAGCATGGCTTAGTGATACCTCACATGATTTTCCTAAGTGAGAATAATCAGAGCAGTTAAGACAGAAGTTGGGGATTATGATTTTTTTAAAGTCCTTTCAGCTCTGGGTTTTTACAAAGTGATTGCTTTTCAAGTCCTTTAAAATTTGATGCTACAGAAGAGTTTCCAGGAAAATGTTTGTCTCTGTAGGAGTTGAAGTCACCCTTCTCAACACCCTGGCCAGAGCCTCTGGGATGTCTGGGCGTGCCTGCTGTGGCTTGACCCTCACCTGTCTTCCCTTCCATTCAGGCAATGCTGAGGACCAACCGAGGCACTATAGGAGGCTTCTTCCTCGCTGGTCGTGATGTGGCCTGGTGGCCGGTAAGTGGACCAAAGTTTCCTGGAGATAAATTTCCTGGGTGTGTGCTTAAAAGTGAACGTAGGCCGGGCACAGTGGCTCACACCTGTAATCCCAGCACTTTGGGAGGCCGAGGCTGGCGGATCATCTGAGATCAGGAGTTTGAGATCAGCCTGGACCACATGGTGAAACCCCATATCTACTAAAAATACAAAAATTAGCTGGGCATGGTTGTGCATGCCTGTAATTCCAGAGACTCAGGAGGCTGAGGCAGTAGAATCGCTTGAACCTAGGAGGCAGAGGCTATAGTGAGCCGAGATCGCGCCACTGCACTCCAGCCTGGGCAACAAGAGTAAGACTCCGTTGGAAAAAAAAAAAGTGAATGTAGAAAACATTTAGAATGTTGACCATCTCTGATGTACATTGGTTGCCTACTCACTGGGGCTCCATTCCTAAATCCCTGACATCATGGCTCTTCCCTGTAATTCCAGGACATTACAATATATCACCTATTATGACAGCAGGTCCAGTCTGGCATTGAAGGACCCCAGTTCAGCCCCACTTCATATTCTTTTCTCCTGCTCCTATCAAGCATCTTCTCCTGGCTTCTTATAAGCTCTGCACATTCCTGCTTTGCTCCCAGTCCGGAGTGGATGCTGGCTGTCTTGTTAGGATTGGCATCCCCATCTCTGCTCTCCTCCTTCAATGCCCCGTCCCACCCCTTCCTCATCTGAGGAGCCTCCCGGCTCTCTCCATGGGTCTCTATGTCCCATGCAGTTACTGGCTGTGTTCCCTGTGATGGTGCTAATGCTGATGCCTCTTGATTCCTGGCCAGTGGGTGTTCTTGTGGGGTTTCGATATGTGGCCCCCACAGCCAGGGTCCCACTGCAGCAGGGGCTGCATCTTCCCCTCTCCATCTGGAGAGCATCACCTTGGCATCATATTATATGGTGGGTGCTTAGTAAATGCTTTCTTCACAGATATGACTCATTTTCTAAATGGTATGAAGGGAAGTGGAGATGGGGAAATGTTCTAGCTGGGGTGATTGAAGCAGAACAACTGGAAGTTTAAAATGAAATTTTTTTGGGGGGCATCCAATCAGTCCTTTGTAGGACTGTTAACAAAACATGTAAGGCTCAAGCGATCCTGAAGCCACAAACCACCTAACGCCATCCTCTGGCCCCATGGAGCTGAGTAGAAAAGTGATTTTACAGAGTCCTTAAAAAGTGGGGAAAGGGCCGGGCGCGGTGGCTCAAGCCTGTAATCCCAGCACTTTGGGAGGCCGAGGCGGGTGGATCACGAGGTCAAGAGATCGAGACCATCCTGGTCAACATGGTGAAACCCCGTCTCTACTGAAAATACAAAAAAAATCAGCTGGGCATGGTGGCGCGTGCCTGTAATCCCAGCTACTCGGGAGGCTGAGGCAGGAGAATTGCCTGAACCCAGGAGGTGGAGGTTGCGGTGAGCCGAGATCGCGCCATTGCACTCCAGCCTGGGTAACAAGAGTGAAACTCCGTCTCAAAAAAAAAAAAAAAAAAAAAAAAAGTGGGGAAAGCAGCAGCACTGCAGGGTCCCACACCCCAGTTCTCTTCTGACAGAATTGGTGCTGATCCAGGCCCACTCAAGAGACCACTCTTGATCTTTGGGTCCAAAGAACAGCAGGCACTGTGATGGCGAGGGAATGAGTAAGAGGGTCTCCTGGCTGGAAGGATGGAGAGAAGTTTCCTCCTAGGCAGCTTTGTGGTCCTTGCAGCTGATCAAAGGGACAAGAGCTGATGGGAGGTCTGGCAGTGCTTGGCCAAGGACAGGCTCAACTCAAGAGAATTTTAGTAGATTGATCAATGCTTCCCCAAGGCAGGGGCCAACAAACTTTTCTCTAAAAGGCCAGATTATACATATTTTAGGGTTTTCAAGCCATAGAGTCTGTTGCAGCCACACAACCCTGCTATTGTAGGACAAAAAACAGCCCCAGTCCCCATGGAAAACCAATGAGTGTGGCTGTGTTCCAGACACTGAAATTTAAATCATATAATTTCATTTTTAAAGTTTCATATCTTACAAAATATTATGCTTATTTAGATTGTTAACCACTATTTAATAATGCAAAGATGTGAAAAAACAGTCTTGGCTCATGGGCCATATAGAAACTGACTATGGGCTGGATTAGCTCGGGGGCAGACATTTGCTTAACTCCTGCTCTAGGAGTAGTGACCGAAACATCTCAGCATCTGCCTATTTTCAAAAAGTCTGATGTGGATCTTTTAACTCCAATCCTAGTTTATCATCTTGCATTCCAGATGGGCGCCTCTCTCTTTGCCAGTAACATCGGCAGTGGCCACTTTGTGGGGCTAGCTGGGACAGGAGCAGCTTCAGGAGTCGCCACTGTAACATTTGAATGGACTGTAAGTGACTTCATAGGCTTTTCCTTTGAACCAAAACCATATCCAGTGTCTTAGTATGTTTCATGCTGCTCTGAGAGAATATCACAGGTGGGTAATTTATAAAGAACAGAAATGTCTCTTACAGCTCTGAAGGCTGGGAAGTGCCAGGGCTGAGGGACACACATCTGGCAAGGGTCGTCTTGCTTTGTCATCCTATGATGGAAGGTGGAAGGGTACTGGGGTATGAGAGGGAGAGTAAAAGAAAACAAGAGAGAGAAAGTGGGAGAGAGAGAGAGAGAAGAGAAAAGGGGAGAAGAGGGTGAAACTTGTTTTAAAAATCAGAAACCCACTCCTACTATAACTAATCACTATCTGGATAACGACATCCGTCTACGGTAATGCCATCCATCTATTCATAAGGGAAGAGCCCTCATGACCTACTCACTCCTCAGTGGCCTGACCTCTCAGTCCTGTCACACTGAGGATTAAGTTTCCAACACATGAACTTTGTGAGACACATTGAAACCAAAGCATCCAGGTATATTAATGAAAGTCGTTTTTCTGGAAGTCTGTACGGAATGCTTTCCTCTTTGATTTTTTGTCTTTCTTGTAGTCCACTTCTTGGGTTTTTATTTTCTTATTTGTTATTGTTTTGTTTTCTTTGCCAATTTTACTTTAAGTTCTGGGATACATGTGCAGAACATATAGGTTACCTAGGTATACATGTGCCATGGTGGTTTGCTGCACCGATCATCATGTCATCTAGGTTTTACGCCCCACATGCATTAGGCATTTGTCCTCCCCTTACCTCCCACCTGCTGACAGACCCCGGTGTATGATGTTCCCCTCCCTGTATCCATGTGTTCTCATTGTTCAACTCCCATTTACAAGTGAGAACATGTGGTGTTTGATTTCTGTTCCTGGGTTAGTTTACTGAGAATGATGGCTTCCAGCTTCATCCTTGTCACCTATAGGTGAGTGCCACCACACCCAGCTAATTTTTGTATTTTAGTAGAGGTGGGGTTTTACCATGTTGGCCAAGATGGTCTTGATCTCTTAACCTTGTGATCCCGTCTCGGCCTCCCAAAGTGCTGGGATTACAGGTGTGAGCCACTGTGCCCAGCCTAATATTTGCATATATATTTTTTTAGTAGAGACGAAGTTTCACCATGTTGGCCAGGATGGCATCAATCTCTTGACCTGGTGATCCGCCCACCTCAGCCTCCCAAACTGCTGGGATTAAAGGCGTGAGCCACCACGTGTGGCCAAAACCTATAATGTTTTAAGAAAGTTTACAAATTTGTGTTGGGCTGCATTCAAAGCCAGCTTGGACCACAGAATGGACAAGTTTGCTCTAGCACATGGCTGGACATGTGATGGATGTGCCGCCAATAGCTCTTGAGTTGCCTGAGTTTTTCTGTTCTTTTATGTTACTCTTTCTGATGTTTTCATGTACATGCATGTGCACATTGGGCAGAAGAGGAAGGCTGTGTAAAGGAAAGTTGGATCATAGTGAAAGTTTAAACAGACTATCCTAGGCTGAACTCAAAGTGATCGTGAGCAATCACAAATGCCTGTGCCCCGCCCCTGTTGAAGATTCTGCCCCTACTTTTACTTTAGTAATGTCCGGGAGTCCAGGATGGATCCAGCCTCCAGATATGCCCTCTGGCTGAAGCTTTGATAGTGCCATGGACACTAGAATGAAGTCAGTCTCCAGAGGCATGGCCAGAATGACCTATGGACCAAGTGGGTGTGACAAGCAGGCTGCAGAGAACTCAGTCGCCTCCTATGACTATGACCTTGGGCTCCCTTAATCTCTGTAAGGCTCAAGTTTCCCCTCTGTGAGATAAGCATAACTGTGCTTGTCACATCTGCCTCACTTAGACTGACAGCAGCATAAGTGATATATGAAAAGACTCTTCGTAAAAACTGCATATTTATGCTAGATTATTACCATCTTTGGATGTGGCAAGAGGTTGTCAGCACTGGGGATATTCTATTTCCAGATTCCCTTCTCATTGCTCTGTTACTCTGTCATTCATGCAATCCTTTGGCAAAGACTATATGACCTTGTAGGGGTTCCACTGGGATCAGATCCCTTATATTCTTTCCCTTTTCCACCACACATATTTTGTGGCAACTTAAGCCCCAGAAAATGGTGGCCCCTGAGTTATAGAAACACAAAAAAAAGGAACTCACAGTTGTCTCAGGATAATTGTTTGAATGGGACAGGATTAAGCCAACTTTTTTTTTTTTTAATTTTCAGACTCAGAGGTCACAACATAAGGACAAGCTCCACAAGCCAAGCCTCTTTAACATCTCCCTCTCTTATTTTGGTTCCTCATAGTCCTCAGTAATGTTGCCGATTCTTGGATGGATCTTTGTCCCCATCTATATCAAGGCAGGGGTGAGTATCTGTTACCAAAATGCCAGAGTTCAGTTCTAGGCACTGCTGCTCACTGCACAGAAAGTCAATCACTGAGACAATGAAGATTGCCAGGAAAAAAAGGCTTTTTGGGGTGCTGCAGCCAAAGAGATGGGAGCTCAGTCTCAAATCCATCTTTCTGATAGACTAAAATAAGGGGTTTATATAGCAGGGAAGATATGTAACCATGTGTGGGAAAGCAGGAATGAGGGGGCGGATAAGGAAGAGAAGTCGGTCAACAGGAAGCAGATGGTGGGTTAGACAATTATAAAAGGTGAGGGCTCTGGCTTCTCATTGTTCATGTGTGGTGATCTGGTGAGTTTCAGCTCTTTGACCCTATCCAGGAGGCCTGATGATTGATTTCCTGAGAAAGGAACTGAGGTAAGACAAAGGTAACTTTCTCCAAGACTGGGAGGATCAGTTTCTATGCTTATTCAAAGAAAGCACAGACATCAGTTCTATGGGATGATTGGGCCAGTTCCATATCCATAGGTATATTCTGGGTAAATCTGTCAGGTGTATCTTTCAGGCATTCATTCATTCACGCTTTCTCTTCAATCATGAAACCTGGGTTTCTGTCCTTCACCTGGCCTATTGTTAGTAATATACAGAAGACAAAAATCAAATTTCTTGCCTAGAGACACTTCCAGTATAGAATGTGGCCACAACCAGTTGGGAAATCAGTGGTGTCTCTGCATAATGACCCTGGAGCAGAGATGACAGGTTTGATGGCAGAGTAGAGATGAAGGCAGTGGAGGGGGAGGATTATGATCAGCTCTAAGACTTGAAGCTTGAGGCCACCATTAATGGAGCCAGGGATTCCAGATTAGAGGTAAATGATGGATGAAAAGGTGAGTGATGATTTCACTTTGCAACAGGATAAATGTTTAGTGCATTCAGGACACTAAGGTGGAGACGCCCAACTGGCACTGGGAAAGTGAGATCTACAGATAGGTCAGGAGAGAGACCTTGGCTGGAGTTACCAATGGGCGTGGCCTTCTCTTCAGAAGCATGGTTTAAGAATCCACTTTCTGCCAGTCACTGCGCAAGGTATCAAGGATACCTCTGTGAATAAGAAGCCATGGTTTCATCACAAGGAAGGGGCCATACACAGCTCTTTCACTTACAGGTGCTTAGGAAATGCTGAATAATCTGAACACACAGGGACTTAAGGGTAAGTTCCTGTCAATGTCTGTCTCTGCAGGTGATGACCATGCCGGAATATCTCAAGAAGCGGTTTGGTGGGAAGCGACTCCAGGTCTACCTCTCCATCCTCTCGCTCTTCATCTGTGTGACTTTGTCAATCTCTGTGAGTTCAGAGCCTCCTGACAATTTAGCTTCAAGAGGTTGTCAGACGGCGCCAGGGGGCTAACATAAGAGAGCTGGATGTGTACAATGTCAACAGCCTTTCAAGGGTCAAGCCATATGGATGTCTTAAACTCTCAGGGGTGTCTCTTCCAAGTCTTATGGGGCAAAAGGGAGCTTCAAAGACCCTGTGTTCATAGAGTGGTAGACTTTTAAGTCATGAGAGACTCCAGGCTATAAATCTCCCCTCTCATCAAGGATATGAAAACAATGAATGTACAAAAAGAACAAAATGTCTCATTCAAGTAACACAGCTCTTTAGTAAAGGGAAGACTTCTCTGGTCTCCTGCTTTTTCCACCTCAAGATAACCTTTATATTCCTTCTCAGAGCATGTCCAGGTTTACGTTTTCATTTTCAGTTTGATTATCTAACACATGAGCCACAAGGAAAGTACTTTGTATTATTATACTGATTTTTCTTAAATTCATTCTACTTTATCTAAGACCACCAAGGCAAGACACATGTCAAAAATGAGTGTTAAAAAATTGAAGTACATTTTAAGTACTCTTTTATACAGTTACATTTTGGGGGCCAGGTGTGGTGGCTCACGCCTATAATCCCAGCGCTTTGGGTGGCTGAGACAGGTGAATCACTTGAGGTCAGGAGTTCGAGACCAGCCTGGCCAACATGGTGAAACCCCATCTCTACTTAAAATACAAAAATTAGCCAGGCATGGTGGTGCACACCTGAAATTTCAGCTACTTGGGAGGCTGAGGCAGTAGAACAGCTTGAACCCGGGAGGTGGAGGTTGCAGTGAGCTGAGATCACACCACTGCACTCCAGTCTGGGAGATAGAATGAGATGCCATTTCAAAAACAACAACAACAGAAGTTACATTTTTTGAAGATAATCAGTGAGGAAAGATGGAAGGAATTTGGAGCTTCAGCAGCACATGTAAAAAACACAGGTTAACTTATTTGCTCCTCGTGTGTCAGTCGCTAATGAAATAGTCTCAAGGTTCCAATCTAAGCAGGTGTATCAGAGTTTGTGAGAGAAAAAGCTGACCTTTCCTATTGCTCTTCTGTCAAACTGAGTCATTGTTGGAAGTGAACCAGCTGCTTAGATTAGACCGCATGAGCCTTCCCAGTGCAATGTGAGCATTGCCCAGCAATCATTGCATATTACTGAGTTTTGTGTTGGGGTAGCAAAGATTCTTGAGTTCACCATTTGGCTAAGGCGGTAAGAATTCTGCACATGAAATAACAATACATGTAAATGTACTAAGATACATGCTGAACTAGAGTGCATGGACAAGTACAGAAAATGTGCTGTGCACACCCTGAGAAGAGGATGCTCTCTGCTCTATGGCACTGGGGGTCGTGCTCTTGGAGAGGGTACTTAGTCCCCAAGATGGGAAGGTTAGGCAAGGCAGAGGGAAGCAGAGGAGCTCACAGGTCTCAGGGGCTTAGGGTCCAAGCGTTCCTCAAATTGCTGGACTTGCTAATCTCCCAGTTCTCCTCTGGTGCTGACATCTACAGCTCTATGGTTCTAAGGAGCATGAGCAGGCATGAAAGCACAGAACAGAGGACAATGCGCAGCGAAAGAGCCCTCAAGGGATGCAGATACCCAGGTTGGAGGGTTACTGGTGGATGGAGAGGGACGGAATGTTGGTGAGTTGGGTGCGGGTGCAGGGAAGCCATTTTCGTGTCTGTGGCTGTGCAGAGTCCATGGTTGGCTGGAAAGACACTTTAGCAGGAGTCCATTCTTGCCTGCAGGTTTATGTTTTAAGTGACATTGATCATGATTAATCTTAGACATGACCTTTTGTACACTCTTAGACTCTGCTAACAGATTGTGTCCTAGTTACTTATTAAACAGATAATTATGAGATGTTAGGACAGGACAGTTTTCATAGGTCTCCTCTGCCCAGATCGGAAAAAGGTCATCCTGTTCACTGGTTCTCAACCTGCAGTTACACGTGCATTAAGATTTGATACAAACTATTATCTAATTTAAGTCTTTATTCAGACATTGACTATTGTTTTAATACAGTCCTTTATAGCAAAAAAATCATTGCAATTTCTTTTTACTATGAGAAATAATTTATAATCATTGTTGTGTAATTAATGCCACTGAATTATATACTTTAATGGTTAAAATAAATTTTATATCATATATGTTTCACCACAATAAAAAAAATGTCATCGGTGACTGAGCCTAGTGACTTCTGCCTACAATCCCAGCACTTTCGGAGGCTGAGGCAGGAGGATCACTTGAGGCCAGGTGTTCCAGACCTGCCTGGGCTAAATAGTGAGACCCTTGTCTCAAAAAGAAAAAAAAAATTATTTAGCCAGGTACGGTGGCTCACTTGAGCCCAGAAGCTGAATTGCAGTGAGCGAAGATCATGCTACTGCGCCCTAGCCTGAGTGAACTGGAGTAGTGCCTATCTCTACAAAAACATTTATTGATGCCATGTCAACTAACATATAATTTCAAAACCATGGATTTAATTATTTAATAGTAGTACATAATAGAAACAAAGGTCAAGGAATTCATAAGATGAAGTGTGTTTTAACATGGAAATGATTAAGTAGAACTACACAAAAAGTCAAAATGCTGTGGTGTAACCATCGCCCCTCTGTGGATGAGTATACAATCAGTATGAATGAAAACAGCCATAAATGCAGACAGAGGCAGATATGCACGAGGGGCACCACCACAGCTAACACTTTTTCTGAAATGGAGAACATTTTTTTAAAAGTGAAATCTTCCCTCAATACTAGTTGGTATTCCTGAAAACCCCCGATGTGCAATAGAGTCAGGTGGGATGATAAAATGTTACGTTTCATTTCAAATCTTGGAGAAAAATACAACCATCTCCTGCTAAACCTGTTTCCAGCCCCAAGTTCTACAAAGAAACAGAGACAGAGTCTTGCTCTGTCTCTCAGGCTGGAGTGTAGTGGTGCAAGCTTGGCTCACTGCAACCTCCGCCTCTCAGTTTCAAGTGATTCTCCTGCCTCAGCCTCCCCAGTAGCCAGGACTCAGGCATGCACCACCATGTCTGGCCAATTTTTTTGTATTTTTAGTAGAAATGGGGTTTCACCATGTTGGCCAGGCTGGTCTCAAACACCTGACCTCAAATGATCCACCCCCCTTAGCCTCCCAAAGTGTTTCTCACATGTCTTCAACTATTTGAGATTGTTACATACATCATTGCCCTTTAATCTAAAAAATTTCAGTGTAAATTTCCCCCCAGATTTAACATTCATGGATGATTCTATCTGATCCAATGATTTTTACCTGATCCAGTCTTTACTGTGGCAGTTGTAAAATGATGGTTTTCTAAACTGAGCATTCCCTGTATATCATTACTCCTAGAAGCAGGGATAATATTTTGCAAAACCACAGCAGAAGTATCAACATAGCGTGGATACAGTTATCTCCCATTTAAATTCCAACTCTGTCAACTGACTCAGAAGTACTCCTTTTTATCATCCTTTCTTCTCCAGTACAGGATGTGGTGTACAGTCAGGTATTACATTCAGTCGCCAAATGTCTTTAGCCTGCTTTCATCTGGAACATTTCTATGTACCCCTTTTCTGTCTTTGATGACACTGACATTTTTGAAGGATAGAGTCCCTCCTCCACTCTTCTTAATGTGACAATCTTTATTTTGGACTTGCCTGACATTTCTTCATAGTTGGATTCGGGTTATGTATTCTTCTTGGCTGGAATACTGCGTAAGTGATGCGTCCTACTAAAAGTATCCTATCTAGAAGCATTCGGTATCCATCTGTTCCTTAATGGTGATGTTAATTTTGATCACCTGATCGAAGTGTTGCCCAATTTCTCCAATATACAATTATTGTTTTATTTTCCCCTGTAACCAAAAGGATCTGTGCTAGATCCTTTAAAGCACTCAAATATTCAGTTCCTCTTCAAAATTTTCCAGTAGATTCAGCATTCATAAATGATCTTATCAGATCCAATCTTTACTAGGATGGTTGAAAAATAATTTTCCAACTCTAGCACTTCTTCCATAGTTCCCATCCAGCATTCAGCAGGCTACTGAGGGCAAGTCTTCCCTTCTCTATCTATCTATAACTGATGTGGACTGACACATTCCTATTTATCATTGGCTTACAAATATTATTATATGTAGTTATTTTGATACTCATGCCATATTTGGCCAGTGAGAGCTCCCCAAACTGGATTCTGTGTAAAGGATAGGGCATGATCCCATCATTTTATTGAGAAATTTCTAAAACTCTGGTGTAACAAAATGTTTCAGACTCATCTTGTACCAGACCTCCTCCAGCCCTCGAATCACCTATTTTTCTGGGACATTCCTGGCTCCTTTAGTGGGGAAGGGTTTTAGAAACCAAAATCTGAGTGCTAAGTGTGCTCATTAAGTTGACTTTTTTTTCTTGACTCTATTAGCTGACAGAATTAGGAAATAAATGCATACATATACCCATATAAATGCACACACATAAATACATTCATATACACACATACATATAGTTTCTGGGCAACTATACACATACATATGCATAGTTAGAAATCATGAGTTCACACTAATACCTCCAATTCCAATCCAGCTCTACAGAGTATTTTATTACCTTCTGCAATTCTATATTTATATGTTCCTTCTTCCACAATTGAGAATCCTGACTCTCCAAGTCATACACACACACAGGCACACACACACACAGGTACACACACACAGGCACATACACACATGCGTGCACACACGCACATACACAGGCACACACATGCACACACACAGGCACACATGCGTGCACACACACATGTACACACAGGCACACACACAGGCGTGCACACACACACACAATTTCTTTGCTCCATCCTATAATGCATCAAAAATGGTTTCAGAAATCTTTAGGACATTGGTGTGGGTAAAGATTTTTTTGGATAAGACCTCAAAACCACAAATAACAAAAGCATAAATTGACAAATGGCCTCAACTGATCCACCCACCTTGGCCTCCCAAAGTGCTGGGATTACAGGCATGAACCACTGTGCCGAAAAAAAAAAATAAGTAAATATTTTTAAAAAGAAAATGATGTCAGAATTGCCTCACCCATACTGCTACAAAAAAAAAAAAACAAACTAAAAATGAATTCAGAACTTATTTGCAGTTCTCCTCCATCCGCAGCATAAGACTAGTGTATCATCAAACATGGTGTTCCTCATTTTGCCACATTTTGTTGCCACTTAATAGAAGTTTCTCCTCAGTGTAGGTCCCCATTCTGAAAGGGAGCTTTGGCCATTAGTTTTGAGAGCTTGTTTGACCTGGACTACTCTAAACCCTTTCAAAACTTACCAAGGAGCCCTTACAGATGCCCCCTGGTTATTAAAGCAAAACCCCTTCCATGCTCTGCTGTGGTCCTGCAGTTGTCCCACTGTGCTTCCCAGAGGTCACCTGGGGGCTATGTGGGGATGTCTATAAGTTTCTGCAGGTAAGCTGCTGTTTCTGCCTCCTCCCAGATCTTGCTGCCATGTAGGTTTTGTGGCTAAGGTTGATTTGCACCTGCCTTCTTGCCTTTTGGGCCTTGTGGAAATACCCCATCATCTAATTTTGTTGGTTTTGCTACGCACTTGCTCTGTATAATGTAGAGATTCATGGAAGTTCACAAACTATGCTGCCACATTCACCCTTTTTCTAGAATATTTTATCTATTCTAAGTGTTCCCCCACATATTTCATTAAGTAAAATCCCATGATAACAGTATAACAATATGTTTAACCATATAGGCTTCTGAGTCACACCACACAGGTTTAAATCCTGAGCTTACCACTTTCTATCCACGTCATCCAGGACAAATTCCCTAAGCCTCAATTTCCTCAGATGTAAAATGATAATACCTGCCTGTCAGGTAGTTTGGGGACAGGGAGAAGGGTAGGGGGTGAATTCTTTCAAGGTTTCAAGGAAGAGATAATCCATTGGCAGCTTAAGTTTTTCCGGAAGAGAGAAAATATGTTACCCAATTCATCTCTTAAAACTGTTCTGTTTATAATTTTAGAAAAGTTAAAACAAACAGATAATTATAAAAATTCTCATTGGCAAACAAGAATACTAATTGTAACAATTTCCTGCTAGCTGTTACATATGTATACTAACATATATAACTAATCATATATATATATATACACATATACATATATATATAATCATATATATACATATACATATACACATATATCATTAGTTATATGTTAGTATACATATGTAACAGCTAGCAGGAAATTGTCCTGAATTATTCATGTTAATTATGCTGAGCCAAACATTGTAGATAGAAAAATGTACTTCCTACTGAAATATGTTTGCCTTAGAGAGATTTCTAAGTTGATTAGTCTCCTTTCTTTTATGGTTAGACCTAAGGGCCCCAGGATGGTCAGAGACACACTTATTTAGTTGAATTCCAACCAACATCATGAATTTACAGCACAGTCTGCATAACCTAAATTAATTCTGCATTTCTCCCTTGATTTCATAAATAACCATAACCCCCCAATTCAAACAATTATAAATCATTGTTCCATATATCTATTTGGAATATACACAAAACAAAGTTCTTTGGTTGCTTTCTATTTTTGTACGTACTATCTTTTTTGTATGTGTGAGATAGAGTCTCACTCTGTTGCCAGGCTGGAGGGCAATGGAGTGATCTCAGCTCACGGCAACCTCCACCTCCCAGGTTCAAGCGATTCCCCCACCTCAGCCTCTCGAGTAGCTACAGGCACAGGCCACCAAATTAATTTTTGTATTTTTAGTAGAGACAGAGGTTTACCATGTTGGCTAGGATGGTCCCAATCTCTTGACCTTGTGATCCGGCTGCCTCAGCCTCCCAAAGTGGTGGGACTACAGGCATGAGTCACCACACCCAGGCCATTTTTGTATATATTTTCTATCCAATATATTAGGTTGTTGCAAAGGTAATTGCGATTTTTGCCATTAATCAATTTTATAGTACATGAAACACACACAATAGAATATATTCTCTGTCACAGTTGAGGGGCTTTCTATAAGCAATTACTCAGCTTCTCTAAGCCTCACGATACAGAAAAAGTTCTCAGGACATGTCACCTCATTTACAAAGCACCTCAACTGAGCAATGAACTAACTTCTATGAGAATATAGAAGAGAGTGAAGATAGTGAAAATTGTTTTTTGAGGCTTTATGAAAGGTATTACTCCAGGGCTGTCTCAGTGGATTCCTGAAAGTTAAGTAGGAGTCTACCAGGAAAAGAAGGGTTGAGAAGAGTGGACATTGGAGCAGAGAAACCAGTGGCCGGAAATGCATGATTCCTTCTCATTCTGACTGTTCCCTTTTTAGTCAGATATGTTTTCTGGAGCCATATTCATCCAGCTGGCCTTGGGATTAGACCTTTACCTGGCAATCTTCATCCTCTTGGCTATCACTGCTGTTTATACCATCACTGGTGAGTATGTTGGATATTTTGCTCACTCAGACTGTCTTCTGCTGATCCCAACCCAACCTGCAATTAGCATTCTCAGTGTTAGCTGTGTCACTGCTGAGGTAAAGACACCATTTCATTCCCACTATGTGAGTCAAGCACAGCACCAGAAACACAACTAGAGCATACAAAACAGGTAATTTGGTTCAGCTATGAGTTTGGTACCCAGATTGGCACTTAGAATTCTGTATATCATCCACAAGGAAACAGCAGCTCAGATAGGAGACTGGCAAATGCAAGGAGAGCTTCAAATGAACACAGGATGCCAGGGCATGGCCATGGCCATGAATGGCACAGTTGAAAGAGGAAAACTGGAGCAGTGGGTTACTGGTGGGAGACGATGTGTGCTTATATAGTCCAAGCAGGCCCTGATGAACCAGGTATGTTGATATGCTTCTCATGTATATTAACTTATAAAAATTAAACAATACCAGCTGAGTTGGAAAACCTAAGGAAAAGTACCAGCTAGGACAATTTTGGGGACATTTTGGTGCATTTCAGCTGTCAACCTAAAATAAGCAACTCTCCAAAATGAGGTGTTTCTTTGGGAATAGTTAGGGTTTACAAACAAGGATACATGTGCTATGGCAGACCATAGGCACTTCCAAGGGGGCTGGGGCAAGGGGAGACTCATAAAGACAGAGAGGGAGAATCCACATAAGCTGTTCTGAAAGAAAGATGATTGTTTCACCTGCTTATTGCAGGACGTAGAGTTTGTTCATTGGTGGCACTGGCTGTGGCTAGGAGACAGCTTCACAGAAGTGGCTTAACCAGAAAGTTCTAGCTGGGATAATGTCTTGCAGCAGTTCCCGTTACAGGTATAGGTGTATCAGGGCCTACCTACATGGCCTCCCAGCCCCATTTCGTTAGGGTGTGGCATAAGTATCTCTATTTTGGAACAGAAAACTTTCACAGAGCATGCATTTCAGAATAAGGGAGAGATAAAGGCATGAGTTTTCAGGATTCATCTTGTTTTCCCATGACAGTCTCATAAAGGGAATACCCTGTTGCCTGGCAGCCTAGTTAGTCTCGAATTGAAAAAGAGTTTTTTTTTTGAGAGGGAGTTTCGCTCGTTACTGGAGTAACAATGGCACGATCTCGGCTCACCGCAACCTCCGCCTCCCGGGTTCAGGCAATTCTCCTGCCTCAGCCTCCTGAGTAGCTGGGATTACAGGCATGCGCCACCAAGCCCAGCTAATTTTTTGTATTTTTAGTAGAGATGGGGTTTCACCAAGTTGACCAGGATGGTCTCTATCTCTTGACCTCGTGATCCACCCGCCTTGGCATCCCAAAGTGCTGGGATTACAGGCTTGAGCCACCATGCCCGGCCATGGGTTTTTTTTTTTCACTATAGCAAAACACAAAACACAGTAACCATATCTGGTATTGAATTAATGAAACAATGTTATGTTCTGGCACTAGAGCAAATGTGGTTTTGCTAGATATTTTAGAGTAGGTACACTGTGCTGAATGGGGGTCAACTGAGGGATTGTTAAGAGAAACTCTCATGGTATTAAAGTGCTGCCTTTTCCCCTACTTAATATTCAAAAACTCACACAAAGATGAAATTTCACAGTAATTCATAGAAACTTAATAAGAGCAAGGCATGAGAAGCAGAACCAATGCTGAGGAGACCATGATGCCAGGACAAGCTTGTGGCTCACCCAGGAGTCTTCTGCTGAGTCATTGTCAGGGTTCTGGGTGGAGAAGAACCTAGTGGTGAAGGTAGTAAATACATGAGGACACATGGATAAAATGCCTGGTCCTTTTCTCTCACCAGGGGGCTTGGCCTCGGTGATTTACACAGACACCCTCCAGACTGTCATCATGCTGACTGGCTCTTTCATTCTCATGGCATTTGGTAAGTGAGAACCCTATGTGCAGTGCCCAGGGGCTGGAAATCATGGGACTTGTTTCTCTTCAGTTTGTCTGCTCTTTATGGGAATGCCTTCCAGGTCCATCTGGGCATGGTTTCCAGTCATTTATATAATCCCCACCACTGAAATATCGACCTGACTTCTTTCTTGCTTTATTATCTCAGCATGAGGAAAAGGGTAGGGGAGGAGGAAAACATGACTTTCTTTTAAAAATAATTGCTTAGATAAGTTATCTCATTTAACCTTAATTTCTCTGTGTTAAGGACAGACAAAATCAGTACCATTGGGTTGATAATTTTACAGAAGTATTTGTGCATTAGATTCGAAGTCTGGAAACCTTTCATTTACATAGAATTTTTATGAAATGAAGGATTTAACAGTAGCAAAAAATCTGAGAACTGAATATTAGTTCGACTGACTAATACACAACCTATGTTTGTGTATTCTAACAATGTATTGCAGTGGATTTTCATCCAAAACATTCATAACCTCATTATGACTATTTTGTATGAAAATCTATTATAATACATTGTTACAGTACAAAAATATAGGTTGGATTTTTCTTCACAATGCTCACTTTATAGTATCAGTTCATTGCCATCAAACAATATTAATTTTCAGCTTGCCAATTTTTGTTTTCTCTTATTATGGTATTTATCTTTGCATAGGAAATCCATGTACACAGTAAAAAGGATACAGGGTGAAAATAAGTATCTCTTCCCTGTCCTGCCAGCATGCTCTACCCACGCAAGCTACACTGAATACAACAATCCTGAATGTGCCTGTATCTAATCACACAGCTTGTAGGTCCACAAAGCCAAAACTCAAAGAACTACAAAGACAACAAATATGCAATGACAGTGGGTGGTTTTAAACCAATATAAATGCCTCTAGCTACACATGGCTGCTGAAAACTAAAAATTGTTTCTCTTTTACCTAGCCGTATTTCAGGTGTATAATATATGGCTAGTGGCTACCACACGGGACGGCATAAATACGGAACGGTTCTATCATTGCAGAATGTTTCCACTGCACAGTGCCACTCCAGAGGTTGTTAGCATCGATTCTTTCTGTACTTTCTATTCAGTTTTCCAGAACTTCTGTGCTGGTCTTATTCATGGTGCTTTGGTTTCTGACCCTGACTCCCTGGGATCAGGGTCTCTAAGCCTCAATTCCCCCATCTTTAGGCTGAAGAGGGGGACTCTCATCTCTTAGGGTCTCCTATGCATTTCTGTTACAGACCATGTTTAGCTAATCAAAGCAACTTCCTTGAGTTGTCTGTATCCTCCACTTGGCTAAGTTCCTGCCTTTGCACATTTATTTTGCACATGATCCCAGCACAGTGTTTGGCACGTAGTAGGCCTTTAGCTAAATAATCAAGCAAATTAATGTTAACTCAACCCTACAACTGCATAATAGCTGATGGATTTTTCATCATTTAAAGCTATACTAAGGGACCCCAGATGCCTGAGCTCAGCTTTTTAAGAGCAAATACAATTCTCTTCTGCACCTGATTAGCCTTTCTAGATTCAATCAGGCTGCCTCATCATTTTCACTTGTCATGTCTAACCTGCCACCCCCAATTTCTGCTCATTATCTTTCCAACTTTTTATTGTAACAGGCAAAATAGAGTGTTGCCTCAGAAAACGAGATTGCAAGTAAGATCGAAAGAGCCGAACTCTGGGTCAAGAAGAGAGGCCTTTGGCTCCTGTTCTTTTCAGAGGAGTTGGGGCTTTCTGGTGGCTGATTCTATAAGGCTCACCTTCCAGTTTGCTTATGCTCTAAATGGTTGTGATACGTCAGTGTCAGCCTGTTGGGTAACAGCTTCATTTTTATCTTAAAAGAGACACTAACTCAAAACTTCAAAGAGCAATATAGGAAGACAAAGTCAGAGTTATTTGCTTTGCGTACTTCGTGAAAGTCAATCTGGTAGCATGGCCAATGCCAGTGGAGGTACCAGAAAGACATGGACCTGAGAGCAGGTCACTGAGGATTCCACTGGGCTGACAGGAGGTGCTTGTGTACTTTCACCAAAAACATAGTCACCATAAACACTGGCCGTCTTAGATTTCAGTAAGACATCTCATTTTACTCTGACACCTTTTCAGCATTTAACGAAGTTGGAGGTTACGAAAGCTTTACCGAGAAGTACATGAATGCCATCCCGTCCGTGGTCAAGGGGGACAACTTGACAATCAATGCCAGGTGCTACACACCTCGGGCGGACTCCTTCCACATCTTCCGAGATCCTGTCACTGGGGATATTCCATGGCCAGGAATTATATTTGGAACGCCCATTACAGCTTTGTGGTACTGGTGCGCAAATCAGGTGAAGTGTGTGTGTTTGTGTGGGCATGTGTGTATGCGTTTCTTGTTCTTTCTTGTCTCATAGAAAGATTTAGTTTCTATTTTGCACACATATCATTTAATGAGTCAAACACTTCATTGTTTTTTGAGATGAAGTCTCACTCACCCTGTCACCCAGGCTGGAGTGCAGTGGCATGATCTCAGCTCACTGCAACCTCTGCCTCCCAGGTTCAAGCAATTCTTCCGCCTCAGCCTCCCAAGTATCTGGGATTATAGGCATGTGCCACCACACCTGGCTAATTTTTGTATTTCCAGTAGAGATGGGGTTTCACCATGTTGGCCAGGCTGGTCTTGAACACCTACCTGACCTTGGTGCTGGGGATTACAGGGGTGAGCCACCATGCCCAGCTTCAAAAGTCAAACACTTCTAACAAAGCCGATTTAAAAATAGCTGCATGGCTCCCTGTTTTCTACCCTATTTCTTATACTTTATAGAGGCAAATGCTTTCAGCTCTTTTAAGTGAGTGTTTTGGCATTATTTCTGTTCCCTAAATCCTTGTGCTCAATGTGCAGTCTGTGAGCCATCAGCATGGACATCGTCTTGGAGCTCACTGGGAATAAACTCTATTACCCTATCTAGACCCTCAGAATTGGAGTCTGCTCATTAAATTGATCCCCAAGTGATTCAGATAAATGCTTATGTTGCTCCCTCTTGGTTTTGGGATTTTATCGGTGGCTTCCCTATGATGAAGGATGAGTTTAGCTGTCCTTCAACCTTCCCTTCTCAGTCCCATGCAAGCACACCTGTTTCTCCCAATAGCTGTCAGTAACAATTTTGAAGAGATCAGCATTCAGTGCCACCATTTCTGTGCTTACCCGAATGTGTCACAGCTGAACCACGTGAACAGTGCCCGCTTTTGCCTTAGCTTTTTCTTGTTCCTGGAATAATTTCAATTTGTCTTTTCTTTCTTTTTTAAAAATATTATTTTCTAAATAGAGACAGGCTCTCACTATGTTGCCTAGGCTGGTCTCAAACTCCTGAACTCAGGAAATCCTTCTGTGTTGGCCTCCCAAAGTGCTGAGATTACAGGTGTGAGCCACCGTATCTGGCCAATTCTTAATTTTTCATTTTGAATTTTCTTGCTAATTATTATTAATTGAATGAAAGGTTCTCTTGGAGCCTTTGCCCTCTCACAGTCTGGCAGCGCTCCTTCTGTTTGGTGTTCAACCTTATCCACTGAGACCTTCACTACCATCTTTGGGAATTTGTTTTTGCCTTGCTCAGCTTATTTCTTTTTCCAGTATCGCCTGTTGTCTTTAGTTTGTTCCGTCTTTCAGGGCAAATCAAAACCTTTAGTGTCTTCCTGTGCTAGGCCTCCTAGGTGGTAAACATTGTGAATTAGCATATTTGAAATTGTCTTTACTCTAACCTTTCCTATTCAGTCCTAGGCTGGAAATAATGTTTCTCAGTCATAGACTCACTGTCTTCTGGATTTCACCATCACTGTGGAAAAGCTTGAAGTTTTTTTTTTTTTTTTTTTTTTTTTTTTTTGAGATGAGTCCTGCTCTGTCACCCAGGCTGGAGTGCAATGACACAATCTGGCTTACTGTAACCTCTGCCTCCCCGGTTCAAGAGATTCTTTTTGCTTCAACCTCCTCCGTAGCTGGGACTTCAGGTGCATGCCACCACCCAACCCTAATTTTAATTAAAAAAAATTTTTTTTGAGACAGTCTTACTCGCCAGGTGCCAGACTGGAGTGCAGTGGCATGATCTCAGCTCACTGCAACTTCTGCCTCCCGGGTTCAAGCAATTCTACTGCCTCAGCCTCCCAAGTAGCTGGGACTACAGGTGTGAACCATCACACCCAGCTAATTTTTGTATTTTTTAGTAGAAATGGGGTTTCACCATGTAGGCCAGGATGATCTTGATCTCTTGACCTCCTGATTCTGCCTGCCTCAGCCTCCCAAAGTGCTGGGATTACAGGCATGAGCCACCGTGCCTGGCTCTGAAGTCATTCTTGATCCTTTGGATATGACCATGTCTTTCTCTCTGGAAGCTGGCCGTTCCTCAGTCCTCAGTATTCTGAAATTTCCCCACAATGCACCATTGTGTGGATCTATAATTGCGAGCTTGGATAATTTGAGGGTATTCTAAGATTTCTTCCATTTTCTTTTCCTTTTGGGACCTTCTCTGTTTGGGTGTAGGTCTTCCTCAGCTGGTTCTCTGCTGTTCTCACCTTTTCTTCCTATTTTCCATGTCGGTCTTTTGCTCTATCTTCTAGGAGACTTTCTCCACTTTATCCTGGACTTGTTCTGCCTTTGTGTTTACAACTTCAACGATGTTATCTTTTTCTGTCTGTTTTCTGAGTATTCTTTTTTATAGCACCTAAGTTTTTGTTTATTGAAGTTTCCTTCTTCCTGAAGAATCTCTGTCCATGTCAAGCTCATAATTTCACAATTTTTAGCCTAGTGTGAATCAGTGGTCAGAGTTTTATTTTTCTCTTTGTAATGAGTTTACCAAAATATCTACCAAAGAATGCATGATTTCATCATTCACATGTGGAACCATCTTTATCATGTATATTTCCTCTGACTCCCTAGCCTACCTCCTGCAAGTGGCCTCACCTTCCCCTTAGATCTGATGCTGGTCCTGCTCAACTGCTGACAGGGCCCCCTGCTCACCTGTGATTTGTGCTCTACCTCTACCACCTTTGTCTAAAAATGCTGTCTGCTCCCCCAGCACCAAATGATACCATTGCTATCCTTAATGGATTGCTTCTCCAAAGAGAATTATGCAGAAAAAGGCATCTCTATTTTCTGACAATCCTTGAGAAGAAAAATACCAAGAAATTATGACATTATGGGTAGGCATCCTACTTTGCTACAAAATTCTTAGTTAAGAGATTGTATAACATAAGTAGGAATTCTGAAGTTCTCTGCATTATTTTTTCCAGGACTCTCATATTGGATTAATAACCAGGTGAGGGTTCAGAATATTCTGAAGAAATCTAGAAATCAGTGTCTCAGTGTTTTCTTCCAATGGCTGCTTGACCCTGGTGTTTCCATGACAACTAGGCTTGACTTGCCAAGGAGGTAATTGTCCCATAACAATAGGGAGATACTAACGATGCCTACGATATGAAAGACATGAACTAAACCACAGCTTACTGTGGTGTCAGCAGTGACAGCTTTGTACCCGGCACTTTACTTGCTGTTATCAAGCAAAAGGAACTCACTGCCTCATGCACTAGAAACCAATACTGTAACACTGTGTTTCTGATTTTTTTTTTTTTTTGAGACAGAGTTTCCCTCTTGTTACCCAGGCTGGAGTGCAATGGCGCGATCTTGGCTCACCGCAACCTCCGCCTCCTGGGTTCAGGCAATTCTCCTGCCTCAGCTTCCTGAGTACCTGGGATTACAGGCACCCGCCACCACGCCCAGCTAATTTTTTTGTATTTTTAGTAGAGACGGGGTTTCACCATGTTGACCAGGATGGTCTCGATCTCTTGACCTTGTGATCCACCGCGCCCGGCCTGTTTCTGATTAAAGTAAAGCTTTTTATCACAAGCAGATTTATAAGCAGACAGGAGTCAAGCTCAAATCTGTCTCCTGCTGGCTTCAAGGCAGTATTTTTATTTAAAAAGGTTCAAAGGTGGATTCGGAGATTAGCACGTGATTGGTGGAAGTAAAGGGAAGGTCTCGAAAGACCCTGGGCATGTCGTTATCTTTTCATGCTACCTTGTAGGTTGCATGTGCAAATTCAGGAGGAGTTCATATGAAATATGCAGTGGAAATTAAGGGTGTTACCTCAGCAACCTTGCTCTGCACAGACTTCAGTGGGCCATTTTGGTCCCAGTCGATTTCAGCCATTTTTTTCTTGATATCATAAGTGGATGGAGTTTCAGTTTTTCTAAGAGTTGTTTCCTTTTTTTTTCTTTTTTGAGACAGAGTCTCTTGCTCTGTCACCCAGGCTGGAGCACGGTGGCACAATCTCGGCTTACTGCAGCCTCCACCTTCCTGGTTCAAGTGATTCTCCTGCCTTAGCCTCCCAAGTAGCTGGGATTACAGGTGCGCATCACCACACCTGGCTAGTTTTTGTATTTTCAGTAGAGACGGGGTTTCCCCAGGTTGGCCAGGCTTGTCTTGAACTCCTGACCTCAGGTGATCCACTCACCTCAGTCTCCCAAAGTGCTGAGATTACAGGCGTGAGCCTCTGTGCCCGGCCAAGTTGTTTTATTTTGTTGTTGCTGTTGTTACCTGCTATCCTGTAGGCTTAAGAATTTAGTCACTGTTTCTTCAATTCTTCGGGGCATGGTTTCACTACTGTTGTTCCATTGCAGCCTGGGAACTGTAGATATTCTAATAGTAGCTAAGGTGTATTGATTTCTCTGTACCAAGGGTCTTACATACATCATACCAAATATTAGGGAAGTCCTGCAACAGATAACCATATTTTCGAGAAGACAAACCTGAGACTCACAGAGCTCAAATACTATGCAAAAGGAATCAAGATTCAAACCCTGATCATAACTCCAAAGCACATTATTAGACACTGATCATTACACATTGTATACATGTATTAAAATACCACATGTACCCCCAAAATATGATAAACTATGACATATATAATACATAAAGATCTATATTTACACATATACATCATAGTTGTATATGTATCATATATAGAGATATATTTATATGTAGTTACATATGTATCATATACATATATATCATAGTTGTTTATATATAGTATTTTGGGGGGTACATGTATACATGCATGTATACATGCAGTTACTCTCAGCTGATTCAGAAATTTACATATCCTCAAACAACCTGATTCCAAGATCAGGTATACAACAGAATGTAGGTATACAATGTATAGTGATCAAATCAGGGTTACTGGGATGTTCATTACCTCAAATCTTAATCTTTTCATTGTGTTAACATTACAGTTCTTCTCTTCCAGCTATTTTGAAATATTTGATTAATTATCATTAACCGTAGTCACACTATTTTACTATGAAACACTACAGTGCACTTCTAACTATATGTTTGTACCTGTGAACCAACTTCTCTTTATGCCCTGCGTCCCTTTCCCAGCCTCTGGCAACCACCATTGTATTCTCTACCTCCATAAGATCTACTTGTTTAGCTCCCACATGTGAGTGAGAATGTGCGGTGTTTGTCTTTCTGTGCCTGGCTTATTTCACTTAATGTAATGACCTCCAGTTCCATCCATGTTACTGCAAATGACAGGACTTCATTGTTCTGTATGGCTGAACAGTTTCGCATTGCGTATTATGCACATTTTCTTTATCCATTCACCTACTGATGGACACTCAGGTTGATTCCATATGTTGGCTGTTGTGAGTAGTGCTGCAATGAACACAGGAGTGCAGACAGCTCTTTGGTATACTGATCCACATCATTTCTTATTGTAACAAACACTGGAAAGGGTGAATGATTCGAAGGCTCACTACCTTTGAAATCATCCCCGGGTTGTTTCATGAGTGTGTCACGTTTTCCTGGCAGGTCATTGTGCAGCGCTGCCTGTGTGGCAAGGACATGTCTCATGTGAAAGCTGCTTGCATCATGTGTGCTTACCTGAAGCTGCTGCCCATGTTCCTCATGGTGATGCCGGGAATGATCAGCCGCATTCTGTACACAGGTGAGCCCTGAATCCGTATGTTCTCTGTTTTTTATGCTTTAATCCTGAGAAGTCTTTATAAAATGTCATAAGCATTGAGAAACCCCATTCTGGATGGGAGTCAAAGCAGAATTCTAGGTGAAGAGAACAGCTTTCTTAGCAGCTGGAGGCAGGAAAATTTGGCACATTGGACATTCTACTCCTTTACTCTTTTCATACTGTCTGCCTGTCTGGTTGACATTTGAGTCTGTGAGTTCTGTTTTCATGAGATGCTTAGATTTAAGGAAGCCCAGAGAATATGGCAAAACAACACTGCAGAATGAGGCAGAACTGGGTTAATTTGAGTCAAGTGAGCTGTACTGGCTGAATTTGGGGACATCTCTGACTGAGGTGGTCTTGGTCTCGCAACTGAATCAATTTTCACTGCTTTGGAATTGGGTTGAGGACATGTAAGTTTCTGACTCAGCTGAGAATAACCGCTAGTGTTGAAAATCTTCCTTTAAAAAATTCAACTTCCTTTCTTTATTATGAAAAGTGAGGGAAATATAACCATATCTTTCTTGGCTAATTGAGGACTCATTTTTATTGGGGTAATCCATCAGATAACACTGAATCCACTTCATGTTTTCTCAACTGGACATCAGTTGATTTCCCTGAAATCTTGTTAAGTGAACATCACCTCTTACTACAGCTTTGTAATGTTTATAATAAAGAATGCTCACACCTGTCTGAGGCGTGAGCATTCTTTACTCTTATAAACATAAGCTGAGGCAGGAGAATCACTTGAGGCCAGGACTTTGAGACCGGCTTCAGCAATACAGCAAGACCCCATCTCTAAATAAAATAAAATAAAATATCTGAGCATAGCGGTGTGCTCCTGTAGTCCTAGCTGCTTGGGAGGCTGAGGCGGGAGGATTACTTGAGCCCAGGAGTTCAAGGCTACAGTGAACTATGATTGCACCATTTCACTACAGCTTGGGTGACAGAGCATGACCCCATCTCTTAAAAAAAAAGTGTAAGTATCTAACTAGTGGGAAATGGCCAAAGAAATTTTATCGTGCACCTCCTTTATGGAAACAGGAGACCGAAGACTATCTCAAAACTTGGGAAAATACTGAGGTTATGATATTAAATATAAAAAGAGGCCGGGCGCAGTGGCTCATGCCTGTAATCCCAGCACTTTGGGAGGCTGAGGCAGGTGGATCAAGAGGTCAAGAGATCGAGACCATCCTGGTCAACATGGTGAAACCCCGTCTCTACTAAAAATACAAAAAATTAGCTGGGCATGGTGGCTTGTGCCTGTAATCCCACCTACTCAGGAGGCTGAGGCAGGAGAATTGCCTGAACCCAGGAGGCGGAGGTTGCGGTGAGCCGAGATTGCGCCATTGCACTCCAGCCTGGGTAACAAGAGCGAAACTCTGTCTCAAAAAAAAAAAAAAAAAAAGAAACTTGCAAAATAATGTCTCAACAACTATAATAGTTGTACAAAAAAGACATTTCTCTATGGAAAAGGATTAGGAAGGAATGAAAAGAAGCCACTGTGCTGAGGTGTTATTATTCTGGATGATTCTTTATCAGTCCTTCCTGTTGTCATAATGTTGTTTAAGCAAAAACAAAAAACCATCAAAGTATTGTGCAACTGCCACAGAGGGAGGCATGATCACACACAGGACAGTCACCCAACTGACGATCACAAGTGATGCCTCTTCTTAGATGTAGGTCAAAGATACGAGGCTAAATGTGACTGCACACAGGACCTAACTTCCTGTTGTTGCCAATGTCTGGAGTTCTGTGTTCCTATAAGAATTTCTTCTTTTGCTGTTTTCCCAGAGGATAGGGTCCACTCCCTCTCTTTGCTCAACTGCTCTTGCTAGGCCACATCCCAAGGAGGCCCCTGTCCCATGGGTCAGTGCAAGAGGCTATAGGGATGAGATACTTGGGGTTGTGTTCTATAGAGGGACCAGATCTATGGTATGGAGTTCAAAGTTGAATCTCCAGTTTCCAGGCAAATGTCTTTTCTTCCTTACGATCTTACAACTTTTCTCTTTGCTTAATTGGTTGTGCCTATTTGGGCCTCACTGGACACACTTCTGAATCCCTTCCTCAGATGAGGTAGCATGTGTGGTACCTTCTGAATGCATCAAACACTGTGGTGTTGAGGTCGGCTGCACTAACTACGCATACCCAACGATGGTGCTGGAACTGATGCCCCAAGGTAGGAAAATGTCCCTTCTGGGACAGCCCCGAGGAAGGATTGTGGTACAATTCTTCTACCTTCCATTAATTCAATCCAACTCATCAGACTCTTTCTTGAGCAACTTCCCCAGGCGACCAGCCGTGTGCTAGGCCTGAAAATTTCAGAGATGAAACAGGTACAATTACTGTTTTAAAAATTCTTACTCCTTCAGATTCAAGACTGTCTTCTGAGGCAACAAAGAACAGTTAAATAATCCATTTGTCAATAAAAGAGTTGCGTAAGTTATAAACGTATAAACACAGGCCTAGAGGTAAACTATTCATCCTGGTTTTTCGGGGCTAGTGATGATCTAATAATAGCTCTCAATCTATTTAATCTGCAGCCATTTACTGAGTGCCTACTAAGTGCCAGGAAATGCTTTGGTGCTAATAAAACATCAGTGGGGTAGGCACAAAGTCCCCTACCTCTTGGAACTCACAATCTACTAGTGTGAGATGGAAAACAAATCACACATACGAAACACGCAAATAATTAGGATGTCAGAAGGTGATCATCGCTATGGTGAACAGAAACGGAACAGGGTACGGAGCTCAGGACTTGACCGGGTGATCTCGTATCTTAGGCTCATCAAGAGCTGGCTACACTTCTGCTACCTTCCTCAACACACGGAAGGGAAGGAGGGACCAGGGCCCACAAGCATGACCCCACATACTCCCCATTCACACTCTGTCCTGGGAGGCTTAGGGCCATTACTAATGGGCAGAGGGAACTGGAGGATGAAGTTCCCATCATGGTTCAAAGCTCTTGGCTTTGCCACTCCAAAGACTTCTTTAACAGAACCACCTACTGGATTTCTTCCTCTCCAGTTCTCTTAAGTTTTCAGGAAGCCGAGATTCCCTACCCTAAGAAAGATGGTGTGATGTTGTTTCTTCTCTTCTAAAACTAGGTTCCAGTAGATGATCTCTAAGTTCTTGTTTAGGACTAAAATTATTTTTGCTTTAATCCGTCCCCTCAAGTATTTATTTTTTTGAGTTGCAAACAATTCAATTACACTCTTTAAGTTATTTTAGAATGTACTTAAGTTATTACTGATTATAGTCACCCAGTTGTGCTGTCACATAGCAGGTCTTATTCATTCCCTTTTATTTGTATCCATTAACCATCCCCACTGTCACCTCTGGTCCCCCACTACCCTTCCCAGCCTCTAGTAACCATCCTTCTACTCTCTATATCCATGAGTTCGTTTTTGATTTTTAGATGGCACAAGTAAATGAGAACATGTAATGTTTGTCTTTCTGTGCCTAACTTAATTATACTGGATTATTCTCAGGTGACCAGGAACTATGCAGGAAACTCCACATGCTGATGAGTATTGAGAAGGATATCAGTTAACCAATGTTCCAGATGATGCTTTTACCTTTGAACACTCTGGTTTAGCGAGGCAGTGTCCAGCTGCTAACCAGTGCTTGTACTCTCTCCTGGCTCCAGGACTGCGAGGCCTGATGCTGTCGGTCATGCTGGCCTCTCTCATCAGCTCCCTGACCTCCATTTTCAACAGTGCCAGCACCCTCTTCACCATTGACCTCTACACCAAGGTGCGGAAGCAAGCATCAGAGAAAGAGCTCCTGATAGTTGGACGGTGAGTGAACCCTGGTTCCCACCTAGAATACTCTGAAGAAGTATGCAGAAGTGAACTAGAGTTCCCTTGCCTTTGGTCAAAGTAATCATAGTGTATCTGGGGAGAAGAGACATTGGAGTACACTGAATTCAAGTGAGCACTTTGAGTCCAGACACGAAAATTTGAACCACTCCTTTAAATGAAATAATCAATTTTTCAGTCTTTCAAATGCTTTTCATGGGCCCTTATTTCTTCCCCTCCTCACATAACCCCCTGATCAACATCTTCAAAAAACTCCACCAGTGTTTTAACGGGGTGTAAAATTCCCACCTGCTCTGATAGGTAAATGCACTGTCTCTAGCAGTTTTCATGTATATCACATGGAGGTCATGGATTAGGTCCGCCACACACGAACACAGAGGAGTTTATCAGTCGCATTCATTAATGACTGGGCTTTATTACAAAGGAACGGGGAAGGGACTCATTCCAAGAGGATACTTAAGAGAGTTAAGCCAACCCAAGGGATCCTGAGCAGCCTGGGGGCTTTGAAGATAGTGGGAGTTAGATGGAAGAAAACAAGAGGAAAAAATGGGTACCAGAGTCTCCTTTTTCCCTTTCACAACTTTCAAGTAGACCCTATATTGTTTTTCTTTTTTAGTTTTAACATAATTATTTATTTAATTAATATTGAAAATTTTCACTGCAAAGCAGCGTTTGATATCTTAGTCCCACCAGATTTGTTTCAAGGATTCATGCTCTGCAGATGAACGAAGGGGTGAAAAAGTTATAGAAGAAAGATAAGGTCCTCTAGAAGCCCTTGCACACAGGAAGAAGACTGGAGAGTTTACATCATATTTTTGTATATTCCTAGTAGGAGCAAAAATGAGGTATCAAAAAGGATCTCTATACACACATAGACCAGAAAGTAATAAAAAAAAAAGCATGACATAAAAAATACTTCTTTCTATACATTCCTAAATTCACAGCAAGATGGCAATTATTACTTGAGAGTTATAGTCTTAACAGACATTATAGTCTTAATAGACATATATTTTAAAATCCTATCATTTGATAGAAATATTATCTGGCTTAAGCCTTTCATCTTATTTTATTTGTACTCTATTCTATCTGAAATTAGGTTCTGATTGTCTCAGTAGGAGACTCGGGCAATATTTGAGGGAATTATAGTACTTTGAAGGAAGTCTATGAAAATAATTGTGTGCTGCTATATTTCTTTTCACAACTCTACTAACATTATTAGTGAGGAATCAAAACTGCCCTGCATTCAGAACAGTAATATAAATACCCACGCGCCCTCCCGCATAGCCAGCACAAACAATGGGTGCAAGTTTTCTGACTAAGCAAATACGCTCCCTACTTCCTGTTCTGTTGAGAGGAAGATGCCAAATGCACAAGGCAGCCATGAGTTTCGTCTACGGAAAGGACCTTTTTCAAAGTGCTGCTAGTTGTATTTATTTATTTATTTAAATTGCATTTTAGGTTTTGGGGTACATGTGCAGAAAGTGCAAGATAGTTACATAGGTACACACACGGCAGCGTGTTTTGCTGCCTTCCTCCTCTTCACCCACATTTGGCATTTCTCCCCATGCTATCCCGCCCCAGCTTCCCCCCTGCTGTCCCTCCCCTATTCCCCTCAATAGACCCCAGTGTGTAGTACTCCCCTCCCCATGTCCATGTGTTCTCATTTTTCATCACCCGCCTATGAGTGAGAACATGCGGTATTTCATTTTCTGTTCTTGTGTCAGTTTGCTGAGAAGGATGTTCTCCAGATTCATCCATGTCCCTACAAAGGACACAAACTCATCATTTTTTATTGCTGCATAATATTCCATGGTGTATATGTGCCACACCCAGTCCATTCTATCATCAGTGGGCATTTGGGTTGGTTCCAGGTCTTTGCTATTGTAAACAGTGCTGCAATGAACATTCATGTGCATGTGTCCTTATAGTAGAACAATTTATAGTCCTTTCGATATATACCCAGTAATGGGATTGCTGGGTCAAATGGAATTTCTATTTCTAAGGCCCTGAGGAATCACCACACTGTCTTCCACAATGGTTGAACTAATTTACACTCCCACCAGCAGTGTAAAAGTGTTCCTGTTTCTCCACATCCTCTCTAGCATCTGTTGTCTCCAGATTTTTTAATGATCGCCATTCTAACTGGCGTGAGATGGTATCTCAGTGTGGTTTTGATTTGCATCTCTCTAATGACCAGTGATGATGAGCATTTTTTCATATGTTTGTTGGCCTCATGTATGTCTTCTTTTGTAAAGTGTCTGTTCATATCCTTTGCCCATTTTTGAATGGGCTTGTTTTTTTCCTGTAAATCTGTCTGAGTTCTTTGTAAATTCTGGATATCAACCCTTTGTCAGATGGGTAAACTGCAAAAATTTTTTCCCATTCTGTTGGTTGCTGATTCACTCTAGTGACTGTTTCTTTTGCTGTGCAGAAGCTGTGGAGTTTGATTAGGTCCCATTTGTCTATTTTGGCTTTTATTGCCAATGCTTTTGGTGTTTTGGTCACGAAGTCCTTGCCTACTCCTATGTCCTGAATGGTTTTGCCTGGATTTTCTTCTAGGGTTTTTGACCCTATATTGTTATAGCATTTTTTGTTTTTTGAGACAAAGTTTCACTCTTGTTGCCCAGGCTGGAATGCAATGGCGTGCTCCCAGCTCACACTAACCTCCACCTCCCAGGTTGAAGTGAAACTCCTGCCTCAGCCTCCTGAGTAACTGGGATTACAGGCACCTGCCACCACATCTAGCTATTTTTTTTTGCATTTTTAGTAACGACAGAGTTTCACCATGTTGGCCAGGCTGATCTCGAATTCCTGACCTCAGGTGATCCATCCACCTTGGCCTTCCAAAGTTTACAGGCATGTGCTACCATACCTGGCCCATCATAGCATTTTGTAAAATGTTCTTAAAAATCAAAGTACAGCACACATACAGAAAACAGTTAACACATGGATGCACAGCTAAGAGAGGTGTTGCAAAATGAGGACCTGTGTAACCATCAGTCAAGTCAAGACATGAAAATTACCAGCACCCAGAAGTTCTTCTTGGGCCACATCATTTCAGAGCTAAACACTGTGACTGGTGATGCTATAGTTTAGTCTTTTCCAACTTCAGGCTATTATATATAGAATAAATCAATTTGTATCCCTTGAAATAAGGATTTTTTTTAGATGGAGTCTTGCTCTATTGCCAGGCTGGAGTGCAGTGGCGCAATCTCAGCTTACTACAACCCCTGCCTCCTGGGTTCAAGCGATTCTCCTGCCTTAGCCTCCGCAACAGCTGGGATTACAGGCACCCACCACCACATCCAGCTAATTTTTGTATTTTTAGTAGAGACGGGGTTTCACCATGTTGGCCAGGATGGTCTCGATCTCTTGACCTCGTGGTCCACTGCCTCAGCCTCCCAAAGTGCTGGGATTATAGGTGTGAACCACCAGAGTTGGCCAAAATATGGCTTCTTTTGCTTATGTTATATTTGCAACATTCAGTCATGTTGCTATGTGTAGCTGTAATCATTTTATTTCTCTGTGGTGTTCCACTGTAGTAAGATACCACAATGTGTCTAAAGAAACTGACATCAAGAGAAGCTGACCAACTATTTAAAAGATTGTGCTTTGTTGGTGACAGTAACAACAGCTGTAGTAAATCAAACACTTGGGGAAAAACCCAAGGGCCTCACTTGGCCCAGAGCTTGACTCTGGACCAATGCTGCAGGAGAGGGAGTACAGGGAGGCAGGAGTGTACCTATAGAGGAAAAAGTACTGGTTGGTGTTCAGGAGGCCCAAGATGCAGTCGTGCCACTGAGAGGTATATGGTCTTGGACACATGTCCTCCTTAAATGATAAAGTAATGACTTTTCCATAAAAAACACGTATGTTTTTAAAATTCCTGCCTCATGGAATGTATACCTTTGTCAGGAAGATAGACAATTAATAAAGGTATGCTACCTCAGGTGACCAGAAATGATAGAAGGACAATTAGAGCAAAAAGAAAGGACTGAAGCAACCAAATCCAGGTACTCAGGGAGGCCTCTCTGAGGAGGTGGCATTTGAGCAGAGCCTGCAGGAAGTGTGGGAGTGAGCCCCACAGTGCCCTGGGGAAGAAACAGTGAGGGCTGCATTCCTCCCATAGTAATGTTTGTGATATGTTTGAGCACAACCAGGAGTGAGGTCTGTCCATAAGAAGCCAATGGGAGAGCACAGAACAGGGTCAGAGGTGCCTGGAGGCAAGGGGAGGTCATGCAGGACCATTTAAGTCCTAACGAGACTTGGAATTTTATTCTATATGTGACAGGAAACAACTGGAACTGAGTGCATTGGGGAGCACATGATTTGCTTTTCCAATGGTGATCAAAACTAACGACAGGACGTGTAATTTATCGAATCCTTACTATGGTTTAGGCATCATGCTAAGACTTCCCGTGTTTTATTACATTCAGTTGTTGCAAGGGTGAACGATTCTGTACCATTTAAGTGAGACATCTGTGCTTCAGAACTCCTCCACCCCACAACTGCTTCTCTGTTTCATGTGAGCAGTGAGAGATGAATGGCCTTTTAGGCACAGTCTACTAAATTATGTTGGTTCATTTATTCACACAACAGGCACAGACAACCCTGGAGTTTAGAAGGGTGAAGCAGTCATGCTCCCTGGACAACAGGAGCCTTTAACACGCTTTTCACCTGCTGTAGTTCTCAAGTAGCAAAATGTACAAGTTAGCATTTCTTGCCAGTTCACTCAGCATTCTGAGCTAGAATATGCAAACCAACTTTGCTCCCTGCAAGCTAGGAAAGGAAGAAAAATGGAAGTCTGCTTTATCATACAAATAATTGCTGGTTAATAGAAATAGTGTGGTATTTATTTCCGATTGATACACTACATGTGGTGCATTGGAGTTATTAATCAGTTGCTGATATTTTAACTATTTATGAATAGATATTTAATCTCATAGATGATGCTGTTATTATTAATTATAGACAAGTAATTGCTTTATTGGCATTTTACTAAAAGATCACCATTAAGCACAGCATGGGTTTATGTATGGGAAAGGACCTTGATTTTCTTGGGAAAAATCAATGAAGGGCAACAAGAGTGAACTCTAGAACTAAAGCACAGTGAAAGTGCCCGTAACGCTTTTGTTTAATGTTTAAATTATGTTGTTGTCTTCCCAGGCTATTCCTTCTTCTGTTAAGTGTCGTGAGCATTGTGTGGGTCCCATTGGTACAAGTATCTCAAAATGGACAACTAATCCATTACACAGAATCAATTTCTAGCTACCTTGGGCCTCCAGTTGCAGCTGTCTACGTGCTTGCCATCTTCTGTAAAAGAGTCAATGAACAGGTCAGTGAAAATGAAAAAATTTTCCCTGTTGGAGTGAGAAAAAAATGGTTTATTTCTCTGGGGTATCAAAATACATTCTTTCTACCCTATTTATACAAGTCATGGCCCATCTTAATTTCAGTTGAAATCAGCCACAATTCCTGATCCTTCCTACAGTATAAAAATAGGGCGCACATTCACAGTACAGTCTTTATATGTTTCTTACAAAATATTATGTACACACATGGTGCAGAGTTGAGGAACATGTTTGGGAGACAGACTGCCAGGGCCCATTCATGGCTATTCCACCTGATAGTATTGTAATCATAAGCAAATTACTTGAATTGAGACTCAAATTACTTGAGTCTCTCTAAAATGAAGATAATGATAGCATCTTTCCTGTGAGATTGCTGTGAGGATTAGGTGAAATAAAATATGTGAAATTCTTAGAAGAAAACCTACCACACTAGTAAGAATTTAAAATGTGTTCATTGCTATGTGATATATGTAATTAATTGATTACTGTGGATCATGTACCCTTAATCTTTTCATTGTTCCTTAGTACTAGCCTTACTATTATGATTTTCAGATGAGGAAAAGGTGAAGAGGGATTAGTATCTATGTGTTTTGCCTATGTTACTTAAAATTAATAAGTGGGATCTTGGGATTCAGGCCTAGATCTTCCTCCATCCAAAGCTCATACCATTAATCTCCATGCAGTACTGCTTTTCTAAAATATAACATCCTGAACAGAGGAACAGGGACACACGTTTCCACCTCATCAACTTCTTACAGAAATAAATTATCAAGCACTTCATAGAACTCTCAAAACTACCTAATATCAGCTCTGGAAATTGTGTAACATAATTGATCCTTCTTATTTTATTAAATAAATCACAAGTGTTTTGATCTAACTATAAAACAAAAGACAAGGAAGACTTCAGCTTGGGTCAGTATAGATCGTAGTGTCCTAGCACTGGAGAATCAACAATGGTGCAGTGCCCTGTGCCGTTCAGGACCATGGAAAGCAGCATCCAACTAAGAAGCATGTGTATTTGCAACTTTCTCGACTTTGGTAACCTTGTGCCCAAGGTTAGACATTTGCTGCTCCTTAGCTGAGAAAGCAGGCAGGACTATAATTATGACTTACTTGAATGAGCTTCTCATATTTTCTAAACACTCTGATTTTCTTCTTGTTTCTTTTGCAGGGAGCATTCTGGGGTCTAATGGTTGGACTTGTGATGGGCCTCATTCGTATGATCACAGAATTTGCTTATGGAACAGGGAGTTGCTTGGCTGCCAGTAACTGTCCCAAGATTATCTGTGGAGTGCACTACCTGTACTTTTCCATCATTCTCTTCTTTGGGTCCACGCTGGTCATTCTGGGAATTTCCCTCTTAACAAAACCCATTCCTGATGTACATGTGAGTGATGAGTAATGGATATAAACTCATTTTAAAATAAGAGTTCTGGCCAGACACGGTGGCTCGCACCCGTAATCCCACACTTTGGGAGGCTGAGGTGGGCAGATCACAAGGTCAGGAGTCCGAGACCAGCCTGGCCAACATGATGAAACCCTGTCTTTAAAGACACAAAAAATTAGCCAGGCATGGTGGCGGATGTCTGTAATCCCAGCTATTCGGGAGACTGAGGCAGGAGAATCACTTGAACCCAGGAGGCGGAGGTTGCAGTGAGCTGAGATTGCACCATTGCACTGCAGCCTGGGTGACAGGGCAAGACTTCGTCTCAAATAATAATAATAATAATAATAATAATAATAATTAAAAAAATGAGTTATGTGCCTTTTATTTTATGAGTGTATGAGTTCCAGGAAATGTATTCATTTCACCTCTAGAACTAGAAGAACCCTAAGAGATTATCATTCTGTCATTTAAATAAAGAACAGTTTGCACCTAGTATGTGCAAAGCACCAGTGAATTAAACAGAAATTAGAAAATGGACATTATATTTTGTAAACTTCACAGTGTAGTCGGGAAGTAAATCTATAATATTGTCATAGGACACTAGGAAGAGAATAATTAGTGTTTCCTAAGATACTGGGAAAGACTTCACAGCAGAGCTGTCATCCGGGCTGTGCCTGTTTGGGCCAATAGGATTTCATATACAGCATGAACACTGATTAGCACAGAGATGGAGGGAAAGTACATGGCATCAGGGGGCAGGAAAAGAAAGGATAGATAATAAGATGCACTTCTGCCTTTCAACTTGGCAAAAATGTTTAACGTGAATAATATTTAATGTTAGCGCTTAATATTAGTGTTGTGGGAATATTCCCACAGTCCAAAACTGTTGGAGAGTACATAGATTTGATAATTTATAGTAGAGCAATTGGGCAGTATTTATCCATTTTTAAATTATTATACCTTATGAACCAACAATCTCAGTTTTAGGAGCTTATTGAATACAAATACTTGTGCAAGTAGGAAAAATATGTGTATAAGGATTTTCTCTGCAGGAGTTTTCAAATAGGAAATAACTGGGAGAAAATCCAGATTTCACCATGAAGGGAATGAGTATACATAATCCCAATCAACTGACTGTGGTGCAGCTGTTCGGAAACACAAGGGAGCTCTACTATTTGCCTTGAAAGAAATGTTCATGATAAAGTGGAAAAAATATGTGCAGAATAATAATGAATATTAGCACTTTCTGAAATAAAACACATGCAGGCATATAGATGTTTGTCTAAGCATAGAAAAAAAAACCTTAGGGCATACTCACCTAAGATTTTCAACAAGAGGCATCTCAGCGAGTGGGGAGACACTACAGGGGCTCAGCAAATATTAATTATTTTAAAAATATAAATACTACTTATATGCTAATATTGTTTAAATTGTTTGAATTTATGACTAAACGTGGGTAGCTTTTATGTATTTTGTATTTATCATTCATAATTTTGGAAGCAATGCTTGTTTATATATTTTCTTGAGAAGTAGCCAGTAGTTTTGCGTGAATGGGAAACCTGAAATACAGCACAGTTCAAAATGTTTTACCAAGGACACGTCACAGAAATTCCTAAATATTTACACTGAATATTGAGAGTCAGATGAAAGAACACTAGAAAACATATCATAGTTTTAAAATAAATATATAGGTTAAATTCTTATTTGCTCATGGAAATAGCCAGTTTCATTACTAATTTTTAGGAAACAAATACTGTCTGAAGGACCAATGAGACCATTTTTGTAATTGATGTTTATGTTTCATTAACATGCTGTGAGGTGTAACTTTCAGAATGGACTGGTAAATATCATGGTTATTTCAGAAAAAGTCATGAAGAGTGTTGGGAACCCAGCCTACAAGTGCAGAAAATGAGATATCCCAGGATTACAGTCTTTCAGCAAAACTAGAAATTACTCAATGCAAGTTAAACAGAAATTGAAGGACTCCCAAGAATAAAGTTTTTAACAAAGAAAGTGGATCTAATACAAGAAATCCTTTGAATAAGAGCTTATGAAGATATGATTAGGAATCTTAGTGAGGAGGTGAAGGCACATGTTATATCAATAAAACCAATTACAAATTCTGGTAAATTTGTACAAGAAAGTCATGAGCCAAATTAAAATGAGGCATAAATTAGAATGATAGATTATAAATGTTTAAAACCCATTGAATAGGCTGGGTACAGTGGCTCACACCAGTCATCCCAGCACTTCAGGAGGCTGATGCTGGTGGATCAACAGAGGTCAGGAATTTGAGACCAGCCTGGCCAACACAGTGAAACCCTGACTCTACCAAAAATAAAAAATTAGCTGGGTGTGGTGGCAGTTGCCTGTAATCCCATCTGCTTGGGAGGCTGAGGCATGAGAATTGCTTGAGCCCAGGAGGTGGAGGTTGCAGTGAGCTGAGATTACACCACTGCACTCAAGCTGGGCAACAAGATAAAAACTCTGTTTCAAATAAAAAAAGATACTTGCAGCAATTTCCTTAGAATGACCCAGAGCTGGTATTTACTTGTGTCCAATCGGTACATACAGCATCAATTCAATTTTCAAAAAAATTTTTTTTGAGACAAGAGTCTTACTGTGTTGCCAGGCACCAGGCTGGAATGCAGTGGTGCAATCTTGGCTCACTGCAACCTCCACCTCCCGGGTTCAAGCAATTCTGCCTCAGCCTCCGGAGTACCTGGGACTACAGGCGCATACCACCACGCCCAGCTAATTTTTGTATTTTAGTGGAGACGGGGTTTACTATGTTGGCCATGATGGTCTCAATCTCTTGACCTCGTGATCCGCCTGCCTCGGCCTCCCAAAGTGCTGGGATTAAAGGTGTGAGCCACCGCGCCTGGCCTATTTTCAAATTTTTAAATCAACATACAGACTGAGCATAGAAATCTTAATATATTTACAGAAAGTAATAACATTTATATAATAGTTAAAAATAATGGTATAGCTGACAGAAGTTTGGAGGTGGGATAGGAAAAGGGGTGTGTAAGGGTACTAATTCCGTCTGGAATTCAAGAATAGTATATAGATACTAGCTAAATATGATGGATCCAGAAAAAGAACTTAAACAGATAGCTTGAAAGTTATAAAAGCAACCACTAGATAAACAGAAGGAAATAATGATGTAGCTAATTAACAGGTGGATGTTAAGGACAATGAGTGAAGCTGGGGTATAGTGTAGTTTGCTAAATCTTCAACTTCATTGAAATTACAAATCCAGAAGTAGGTATTTTTAAGTATATCATTTGAGGTTCTGAATAGCAACCAGAAGAATTAAAAACAGAAATAATTTAAAGTGGTTGCGTGTTTTGGTGAGTGTGGCAGGCGGCCTTTTCTTTGTGATCTATATTCTCCTGTGTTTTGATATTTTTAAAACCCCGACAATAGGCAGAGGTACCATTCCAGAATATTATTGCAAATAGGCATTAGTAATCTGCCTATTACTAACATACTTTTGCATGGTTTCTGTTCAGCTGTACCGCCTGTGCTGGGCTCTTCGCAACAGTACAGAGGAACGAATTGATATAGACGCAGAAGAGAAAAGTCAGAAAGAAACAGAGGATGGTGTTGATGAAGGTAGTATTTGGTTTACATTTGGTTTTCATGCAGGAACTCTGCACATGCTTAATGGTTTTCTTTTACTGTCATTAAATTTAGCTTCTGAAAAAGCTGTTAGGTTTATGACAAACTGAAACTTTAACTTTTTACCTTTCTAACAACCAAGACAGCATATTAAATCCATCTATTCATCTGCCTCTCCATTGGTCTGTCTGTCCACCCATCATCCATCCATAGTTACTGAGATGACAATCAGTTACAAACTCACCTGTTCCTAGTTAGATTAAGTGTTCAATCTTGATTGACTGTAACTAAGCATCTAGCCCCACCTTCTCTCCAACTGTATTTCTCAAACATACCCTCCATTCCAGGCAGGCACGTGCCACTTTTCCCCACGTGCCAACCTTCCTAGAATATTTCTTCACTTTTCCCCATGTGCCAACCTTCCTAGAATATTTCTATCTCCTTTCCAAGAGAAGAAAATATGCTTATTCTTTAAAACTAAATTCTAATCTCACTTCCTTCATGAAAATTTCTCCATCATTCATCCCCATGACTCTTTGATTACCTAGTATTTTTTTAAACCACAGAGAAGGTTTAGCACTTCACAATATGTTGTTTTAAACTGAACAACAATTCTTTTGTCTGTTTTAGTTTGGTTCCTTCAAAGTGAAGCAAGAGTCGGTGCCTTCTGTTCCTTCTGATTTTTTTTTATTAGTGTTTCCGAGTATGACTGGTCTATCACTTTCTGGTTTGCTACTAAGTCTTTGGTTTTGATATTAAGATCACAGAGGTATCACAGAATGAATCAGAAATTAGCCCATTTTTCAATTTCATGAAAATATTTCAGTAAGATTGAAATAATGTTGCCACTGTTTTTTGGTATTTTGCCAATAATACCATTAGGGCGCTCTCTCTCTCTCTCTCTCTCTCTCTCTCTCTCTCTCTGTGTGTGTGTGTGTGTGTGTGTGTGTGTGTGTGTGAGAGAGAGAGAGAGACAGAGAGAGAGAGAGAGAGAGAGAGAGAGAGAGAGGCATACTTCTTAATTATCAAATTTATAGAACTATTTAGAGTTTTCATTTCTTCATTAATTGGTTTGGGAAGATCATATATTATCCTAAGATTGTGTCCATCTAGTGCACATTTTAAATATATCGGCATAAAGTTATTCATTGTGTTCACTTACCCATCTATGCTGCTTCTATAGTTGTGTTATCCTTTTAATCCCTAGTATATTTTTGTGATTTCTCTTTTTTCTCAATAAATCTTACTAAAGATTTGTCTAGTTTACTTTTCTCAAAGAACGAACTTCTGACTTTGTCATTTCTCTCTATTCTTCTTTTCTATTTCATCCCTTCTGTTTTTATTTGTATTCCCTTCCATTTATATTATTTGGGTTTATTCTCTTAATTTATCAAGTTGGATATTAACTCATTCATTTCCAGTAAATCTGGAAATTTTCTTTTTCTTTTTCTTTAATTGTCCTTTTCTAATATAAATAACTAAGGCCACATATATTTCCCTCAAAGTAATACTGTTTTGAATCTCACAGCTTTTAATTTGTATAATTTTCATTATCATTTATTTTTAAGTATCTTACTTTATGATTTTTATAAACATTTACATTTAGAAGTATTAAATTTTCCATTGCTGTAACAGATAGTGATATACAGGAGTCTCCTTGTATTTTTGCCAGCATAAGTTGGGGATAGATTTTGTGGAGTTTGGTTGATGGTAAAAGGGTTCATGCCTATACAATTTTGCAATACGCTAATTCCCCTCCATAGGGAACTTGCTTTCCTAGCGACAATATGGAAGAGTGCCTGTTTCCACGCAAACTCTCTAACGCAGTATGTTGTGAAACCTCTGAATTTTTGCCACTGAGAGATAGTAGTATAGGTTTAGTTTACATTTCTCTTCTTGAGTTTGAGAACCATGTGTCTTTTCTCTTTCAACTGTTTATTCAGCTCTTTAATATGTTGACATGGGGTGTTGATAGCCTGTTCTTATCTATTTTTAGAAACCCACTATATATTAGAGATATTAAACCCTTTGTAATAGAATTTGCAAATGTTTCCCCCATTTTGTCATTTGTTTTTACTTTGCTTACTGAATTTATGCCATAAAAAGTTGCCTGTTTTACATAATTAAATTTATCTACATTTTCTCAGGGATTCCCCTAACACTCCCAGGTGATTGTAATAATTTTTTACAGTCATCTGTACTACATTGACAAGGATTTCTAGTTCCTTTGTGGTCTAGATCTTGTGCGATGATTTGCTTATCTTTGTTTCAGATTATCCTGAGCAATCACGTGGATGCCTCAAGAAGACTTATGACTTGTTCTGTGGTTTGCAGAAGGGACCCAAGCTAACCAAGGAGGAGGAGGAAGCCCTGAGCAAGAAGCTCACAGACACATCTGAGAGGCCCTTGTGGAGGACAGTAGTAAACATCAACGCCATCCTCCTTCTAGCTGTGGTGGTCTTTATTCATGGCTACTACGCCTGAACTCTATCCAAGCCACTAGAATAATGAATAATTCTTAGTAATGAAGCAAAGGATAATTTTAGTGAAGCAAAGGATAATTTTCATTTTACAGTATGTGTGGCAATTTTATCCAATGAGATGACTATAGACTTGATATTTCGCTTTTGTTCTTCGTGTCATTACAAAGAGTTGATAATTTATAAAACTATAAAGTGACCCATAAGTGTGTAAACAAGACACACAGGTCTAAATCCTATTTTTCTGGCTTGAGGCGCAGGAAGAGGCCACCCCTGCCTGAAGTTGAGGAGGAGGTCCCTATGCAAGCGCGTGGCTGCAGCACAGACAGACCAGTGCTCACCGGGCCTGGTGCTCAGCATATTCAGGGGCCTGCAAGGATGGGTGCATGGTGTCAGTTTGCAGAACAAATGGGGCCTTGTTGTGGCAGGGGATGGGGAGCTTCCCTGGGCCTGGCCCTCCGTCTGGTAGAGATGACACCTCAGGCTGTGCAGTACGTGGCCCTCAGTCTGTCAGACATGAACACCTCAGGCTGTGCAGCAGCTCAGGGTCGTCCATCACCACACTCCCCTGGCAACACTTGCCCACAGCGGCTTGGAGAAGATGCCCATGACAGCCCCTGGGTTGAAACTCCGTGGGCCAGCATCTGCCTGAGACGGGACTCCTGGGAGGGGCTGGCCATTGTCTCTCTTGACTCAGCTGCTCTCAGCTCCCTACTGTGTCATCAGGTGCAGCACAGATGCTTCCAGGACAGGCTCTTCTACAAAAAAGGGGTTGTCTCCTGGGCCCGGAGTCACAGCATAGACAATGAAGGCAGAATTTGGATGAGGCCAGACTTACACAAAACCCTTCCACATCTTCATACTGGATTGTGTTAAACATAAACCTCCAAGAACCTACAGAAAAACAGGCACAAGGGCTTCTTAAACAAGAAGATAAACATCCTTGTTCTAGAGGAAGAGCCAAGAGAAAACGGTATTGAAGGAATTATTCAAGTAAAGAGGAAAACAAGGTGAGAAGAAGCCATGAGAGAATGAGGAGTGAGGAAATCAAACCATGGGGCCCCCAACAAGCCATGATGAGAGCTGCAGACATGGCCACTACGGCTGAGGCGGGGTGGCTGTAAGTGGAGCAAACGGAGTGGTAACAACGTTCTGTGATTATGGGTGTGAGCTTGGGGATGTTAGAGCACAATATTAGAATGTGCAACTTAAAAAACAGCAGAGGAAAATTTCATTTCTCCAGTGAAAAACAAGAATGTAGAAAAATGAAACAGAAACAAAAAATACATAATGTAGGGTAATTAACTTCCAATAGGAAAAAGTTCAATAGACATTTACAAAGGAGAAAATTGACTAATGAAATAAAAAGAAAGATAATAATAAAAATAACAAAGCCAGAACTCAAGGTGAACAAGGAAAGTCTTTTTAAGATTTATCATAGAAAATAAAAAACCATAAAGATTACATTACAAAGAAAAGAATTACATAATTATAAAGAGTGCTATTCAACAAGAAGACAACTATCCTAAATATGTGATATTTATAGTTTCTGTGCAGCCAACACAGAAACAAATTCATAAAACGAGTCTTAGAGACCTAGAAGAGACTACGGCCACACAGTTATAGTAGGAGATTTCAAGATCCTACTCACAGTATTAGATTATTAAGGCAGAAAACAAAGACACTCAGTACATGAACTTGACATGTCACCAAATGGACCGAACAGCCATATATGGAACTCTCTATCTCATTTGCACATGGCACATACTCTAAAATCAACCACGATTGGCCATAAAACAATTCGCAGCAAATTAAAAACCAAAATCTTACCAACCACACTCTCAGACCACAGTACAATAAAAATAGAACTCAATACCAAGAAGATTTGCTCAAAACCACACAATTACACGGAAATTAAACAAACTGCTCTTGAAGGACTTCTGGGTAAACAACAAAATTAAGGTAGATATCAAGAAATTCTTTGAAACTAACAAGAACAAAGATACAACATACCAGAATCCCTGGGACACTGCAAAAATGGTGTTAAGAGGAAAGTTCACAGAGCTAAAATCCGACACCAAAAAGTTAGAGAGACCTCAGATCAACCTAAATTGCACCTTACAGAACTAGAAAAACAAGAGCAAACAACCCTGCAGCTAGTAGAAGAAATGTAATAACTAAAATCCACCTGAATTGAATGAAATTGTGATGCAAAAAACTATACAAAAGATCAACGAAACCAGAGTTGGTTTTTTGAAAAAATAGACTGCTAGGTAGATTAATAAAGAAAAAAATGAGAGAAGATTTAAATAAACCACCAGAAATGACAGAAGTGACTTTGCCACCAGACTATTAAGAACACCTCTATTGCCTGGGGGGCCGTGGCTCACGCCTGTAGTCCCAGCACTTTGGGAGGCTGAGGTGGGCAGATCACGAGGTCAGGAGATCTAGACCATCATGGCTAACATGATGAAACCCTGTCTCTACTAAAATTCAAAAAATTAGTTGGATGTGGTGGTGCACGCCTGTAGTCCCAGGTACTCGGGAGGTTAAGACAGGGGAACAGCTTGAACCAGGTAGGTGGAGGTTGCAGTGAGCGGGGATCACGCCACTGCACTCCAGCTTGGTGACAGAGTGAGACTCTGTCTCAAAAAGAAAAAAAAACCACCTCTATCCACACAGACTAGAAAACCTACAAGAAATAGATAAATTCCTGGAAACATACAACCTCTCAAGACTGAACCAGGAAGAAATGTTCAAACCCTGAACAGACCAACAAATTCCAAAATCAAATCAGTAATTAAAAGCCTAACAACCAGAAAAAGCTCAACAGATGGATTCATAGTGGAATACAACCAACCATATAAAATAGAGCTGGTACCATTCCTACTGAAACTATTCAAAAAAAAAATTGAGAAGGAGAGACTCCTCTTTAACTTGTTCTGTGAGACCTATATCATTCTGATACCAAAACCTGTCAAAGACACACAACCACCAAAACTACTTCAGACCAGTATCACTGGTGAATACAGACACAAAAATCCTTGACAAAATACTAGCAAACCAAATCCAGCAGGACGTAAAAATGTAACCCACTACGATGGAGTAGGTGCTATCCCTGGGATGCAAGGTTGGTTCAAAAGATGTAAATTGATAAATGTGATTCATCACATAAACAGAACTAAAATTAACAACACAATCATTTTAATAGATGCAGAAGAGCTATTCATAAAATTCAGCATCCCTTCATGTTAACTCTCAACAAACCAGGCATTGAAGAAACAGACCTGAAAATATTAAGAGCCATCTGTGAGCAACCCATTGCCAACATTACACTGAACAGGCAAAAGCTGGAAGCATTCCTTGAGAACTGCAACAAGATAAGGATGCCTACTCTCACCACTCCTATTCAACATAGTACTGGAAGTCATAGCTAGGGCAATCGGGCAAGAAAAAGAAACAAAATGCATCCAAATACAAAGGAAGGTAGTCAAACTATCTCTGTTTGCAGATGATATGAATGACTTTATATTTAGAAAACCCCATAGTTCCAGCCCAAAAGCTCCTAGGCTGGGTAAATAAATTCAGCAATGTTTCTGGATACAAAATCTATATAAAACACTAGTAGCATTTCTATACACCAGTAACGTTCAAGCTGAGTGCCAAATCAAGAACACAGTACCACTGACAACAGACACACACACACATACCCCAGGAATCTACCCGAATGGGAAGTGAAAGGTATCTATAATGAGAACTACAAAACACTGCTGAAAGAAATCAGAGATGACACAAACAAATGGAAAAACATTCTATGCTTGTGGATAGGAAGAATCAATACTGTTAAAATAGCCATACTGCTCAAAACAATGGTTGTTTTTTTTTTTTTGAAGCAAAGTCTTGCTCAACAGAGTCTTGCAACAGTCCAGACTGGAGTGCAGTGGTGCAATCTCAGCTAATCACAACCTCCACCTCCCAGGTTCAAGCGGTTCTCCTGCTTCAGGCTCCCAAGCAGCTGGGACTACAGGTGTGTGTCACCATAACTAGCTAATTTTGTGTTTTTACTAGAGATGAGGTTTCACATGTTGGCCAGGCTGGTCTCGAACTTCTGACCTTGTGATCTGCCCGACTCAATCTCCTAAAGTGCTGGGATTACAGGCGTGAGCCACCACGCCCAGCCAAGATTCAATGTTATTCTTCTCAAACTGCCAATGATATTCTTCACAGAATTAGAAAAACTATTCTAAAATTCACATGGAATTGAAAAAGAGCCTAAATAGCCAAAGCAATTCTAAGCCAAAGGAATAAAGCCGAAGGCATCACATTACCTGATTTCAAACTGTACAATAAGACTACAGTAACCAAAATAACATCAGACTGATATAAAAATAGACACGTAGACCAATGTAATGGAGAACCCAGAAATAAAGCTGTACACTCACAACCATCTCATCTTTCACAAAGTTGACCAAAAAAAGCAATGGGGAAAGGACTCCTTAGTTAATAAATGAGGCTTGGATTTTTGGTTACTTACTCACATGCAGGAGACTGAAAGTTGTCCCCTTTCCTATACCATATAAAAAAATTAACTCAAGATGGATTAAATGCTTAAATTTAAAACAAAACTATAAAAACACTGGGAGAAAACATAGATGCGCCATTCTAGACAGAGGCAAAGATTTGGCAAAGATTTTTGACAAAGATGCCTAAAGCGAGCAATTGCAACAAAACCGAAAATTGACAAATGGAATCTAATTAAACTAAAGATCTTCTGTACAGCAAAAGAAACTCTCAACACATTAAACACAGCTCACGGAATAGGAGAAAATAATTATAATCTATACACCTGACAAAGGTCTAATATCCAGCATCTATAAGGAGCTTAAATTAACAAGGAAAAAATGAACAACCCAATTAAAAAGCGGGCAAAGGACATGAGCAGATACCTTTCAAAAGAAGACAGACATGCAGCCAATAAGCATATGAAAAAACCCTCATCATCACTAATTATTAGAGAAATCCAAGTAAAAACCACAATGAGTTACTATCTCACACCACTTAGAGTGGCTATAACTAAAAAGTCAAAAAAATGACAGATGCTGGCAAGACTGGAGAATATGAAACACACAGTGCTGGTGGGCACACCACTGGCTGGGAAGTAAATTATTTCAGCCTCTGTGAAATGCAGTTTGGAGATTTCTTCAAAGAATTTAAGGCA